ATATATATATATATTATTTTTTTTATTATATCAAACACATCTTGAATTCTTTTTTGGTTAAGTGATTCTGACAAGGCCATCCCAACTTGCTAATATACAAAATAGTGTCATCTCTACTTTATTTCTCAAGTATATTCCCATCACAATGCAAAAAATGTGTTCCAATCCAAGTCAATGCTTTATATTTTATTTTCATTTTTTTTGCTTCAATGGATAACATTTTGCAATTTCTTATTAGTTTCTTGGATTATATTATTTTATTAGTAACTATTATGGGCTTCTTGAATACATCAACACACACACATATATATATATATATACCCTTTGTATTTCTATACTCATTCATTGTATACTTAGGTGGAAACAAGTTTGAAAAAAAAAATACTATACTAGCTTCCATTGTTCATTCAATGGCCAAAATATATCCACAAACACTCAAGAACTACTCTTCTTCTTCTTCTTCGTCTTCGTCCTCGTCCTCGTCCTCGTCCTCGTCTTGTTATGTGACATCCACTAGAGAAATATTTACCATATGGATGAAATCTCTAGTGTATCATGGGAATGGTTGTACTGTTTTTAATTCTAAAGGCGATATTGTTTTTAGAGTTGATAATTACCAAGAAAGAAATAGTAATGAAGTTTTCCTCATGGATCTTAGTGGACAAGTTCTCTTCTCAATTAAAAAAGAGGTAATAACAAAAAAAATAACTTACTAGTGTGTATTTTTTCGATTTTGTTTTCTCATCTGGTGTTCAGTATGACATAGTTAGAGTAAACATAGCTTGACGATTTCATTAAGTTTAATTTTTAATTAATTTTATTTTGTTCAACAGAGACTAAGATTACTTGGTAGATGGAGTGGATATTTAAGTGGTGGATTTAAAGGAAAGCCATGGTTTCAAGTGAGAAGAAATTGGAAATATTCAAAAGGAGATGTTATTTGTGATGTAAATTTAGGGTGTGATAAATCTATTGGAAGTTGTTATAAGATTCAACAAATTGACAAAAAATCATCATTTCAAATCTCAAATGATATTGGTCAACTTGTAGCAAAGGTAATTATTTGATTCAAAGAAATTAATTTGAGTATTTATGATTAAACAAACATTATATACTATATTCTTTTTGTTTTGTTATGTAAAATTGTGTATATTATATAGGTAAATCAAAAGCAATCATCAAGAGGATTTGGGTATGGTGATGATGTGTTAAATCTAGAAGTGGAACCTCAAGTTGATTACTCATTTATTGTGGCTCTTGTGACAATATGTGGTTTGATTAAACACAAATTATAAAGACCACAATTAGTCTAAATTGACTTTTGCAAGATCAAAATCGGATAGCGAGCACGAATGCGATCGAATGAAAAATTTTCGATTTTCAGTTCAGAATTTGATGTGAGGAAAAAAATCCTAGATCAGTCCCTTGATCTCAGCGCAACGTGTGAGACTTAGTCAAGAGATCGATTTGAAGATATTAATTTGAAAAAAGAAAAAAGAAAAAGGAAAGAAGGTGGATATTACTTTGATTCATGTTCATGTTCATTTTGGGCCTTCTGTTGATTAAAAGGCCCATTAAAATCAAGCTCAGTGGCCCATATTTTATGGCCCATTAAAATATGTTTTTCATGTATAGTCTATTTAGCTGATTAATTCTTTTATAAAATACAAAGTTTTGTACTTTTGCTGGTTCATTTGGATTGACTGGTTAAAAGTTTAGTTGGCTAGTTTCAAGTGTAAAATACTGAAATTTTATTTTATCAATAATAATTAGATGCTTACATAAAAACTACATATTGGTGTGTGTCAGGTACGATTTCAATATATGTCATTATTTTTATCTTAATTTATATGTTACAAGTGAAATTTGAAAAATCGACCATTTTAATTTTTTTATTTTTTGTTTATAGTTTTAAAGCTATAATTTGTTGTGATTTTTGTGGTATTTTAAAATAATGTATGTTACTCTCATTTCGATTAATGTGAATACTCATAAAAATTTTCAGTTATTAATTTACTTTGAATTTTATAACTTTTGGCGTCATATTCAAATAGTATATGATACTTCTTATAAATTGTACATATGAAATAAGAGAGCAAAACAAAATATTTTCAATTGTTAATTATTGTGATTTATAATATTTTTTATGTAATTTTTAATAACACATATTATTCAATCTATTCATATTCATGTGACACTGATAGAATTTCAAAAGTCAAATTAAATTTTCTTTTACCTCTAATATTTTTTGTAGCTAAATATAAGAAATGGAGTAATTAAATTACTAAAAATTAATTTGCCACGATATTAACAAAGTAAAAGAAATTAAAGAGCAAAGTCATGAAACACAACAAATAAAGAGAATGAAAATGAAAATAACTCATGTGAGATTCTTTTATTAAGAGGCATTTGGGTAATGAAAAGAAATTTGGAAAAAAGTGAAATATGAACAGACTTTTATGTCCTACAAAGAAAAACTGCAATTGTAAATATAAAATATTATTTCAATAATAATATTATAAAATGTTCTAATTTATCTCTGACTAAAAAAGCCGTTATTTTCTTAAAAGGCCAAAAACATAAGGCACAAATTATGCTTTATAAGACAAAATTTGCGAGGCAAACATATATTAACAAGATACATAAAATTAATTACCAGTACTTTTACATGAAAAGAGGATAAGCAAAAATAAGATATAAAATATTAAATGACAAGCTACCAAATGACTTTTGATAAAAAAAATAATTTGGGGTCTGAAAAAATCTACAAGAAGTTGCTACAAATTTCAACAAAGTGAGAAAAAATTATCATTTTCAATTGTTAAAAAGTGATTTAACTTTTGACCTTTTTTTAAGAAAAAAAATTATATTAACTATTTTGTTTTATTTAATTTGATATATTAATAGTGAAAAGTTTAAAATTTATTTTGATCCTCTAATAAACCATGTTAGATATTCATTTGTTTTGACAATTTTGCCCATGTGTATACATATTTTCAAGTCGATCAAATCTTTTTATAACGATAGCGTGTGTTTAAACAATTCAATATGGCTGCTAGAGTGATGTGATGTCATATACGTATACTAACATTTAATAATATGTTGAATGCCTTAAATCGGACCCGCTACAAACAGAAAGGACGGGGGTAGCTTAGCACTATATATAGACGCTATGGCAAACCCTATTTTGTAATTCTGTTTTTGCCTCTCCATAATAAAACTGCTTCCTCTCTTCCCGTGGACGTAGCCAATTTATTGGTGAACCACGTAAATCTGTTGTCGTCTTGGTCTGAATTTGATCAATTCTGTAAGGATGAAGGGATTGCTCGACATCGTACAGTCAGAAATACACCACAGCAGAATGGTGTAGCTGAGCGGATGAATCAAACACTTCTGGAGAGAGCAAGGTGCATGCTCTCTAATGCTGGGCTAGATAGAAGATTCTGGGCAGAAGCGGTTAGTACAGCTTGCTACTTGATTAACCGCGGACCACATACAGGCATACAGTGCAAGACACCTATGGAGATGTGGTCAGGAAAAGCTGCTGATTATTCAAATCTGAAAGCTTTTGGTTGTACGGCTTACTATCACGTCAGTGAAGGTAAGTTAGAATCAAGAGCTAAAAAGGG